GCGACGTCGGCTCCCTCCGCCGTCCCTCTGAGACCGAAAGCAAAAAAGCTGTTTGTGTAGGTCAACCTCGTTTTCTTTCCTTTCCTAGAGACGGTTGGAAAAGCGAAAGAAGAGAAATACAGTCCTTCAGGGTTAAGGCTGCTGCAGCCATGGTGGTCTGAGAAAGCAAGGCAGGCCTATAAGCCCGTTGTATTGCCTGGGATAGCTAGAAGGGACAGATGAGCTCTCTAATTACTGCTGCTCCGGGAGTGAAGAAGAGCTTTGCATACTTGAAATTATATCAGTTGGTCAAGACAGATCCCTCTGTGATCTTTTGTGTGTTGAGGTCACGTTTTCCAGTTTTTCTCTGCACATCTGAATGTTTTCATATAAACAAAAACAGATGTTACATCTCACAGTTGTGGGATTCCCGGAGATAAATTTTAGGAAAAATAAACTCATAAAATAGTGAGAGATTAAAACTCCAGGATACACACACTTGGCATGCTGAGCGTTCGCTACTTTTGCAAAATAAGTAACTGTAGCATTGCAACACCACCAGCCTGGGCCTCTTGACCTAACAGCTCTTCCTGCCAGGAATTCAAGATTTCAAAGGAGAACGTCTTCATATGAAATAAGGACAACAATTTTCAAAAAGGCTACGTATAACGTGGGATTGTACAGCTTTTGATCAAGCAATAATCAAGCAGAAGAAAACCATTATGGATCACCATCACTTACAATTACCAAGCAAAGTTAAAAAAATGTACTTTGTTGCTCTCTTTGAGCACAGCTTGCTTTCTCCTTCTACCTTTACACGCTTTCTTCTCAGTTGGCTCTGTCATCACCCTTCCCTTTCATCCTGCTGCAAACACTTCTCTTCCTCCGGTCTGTCTCCTATCTCCCTTGCGTCTCGTACTGTCTTCCCTTTGCAATACCTGATCCAATTCCAAAGGTCACTTTGCTGTATCTGCTGCATTACTGTATGAGTTTAGAGAGCAGGGTTTGAAAGTAAAAGTGTAATTGCTTTCTTTGCACTGTCCAAGCCCTCCCAAAGGAAAACTTTTCCAGCTCGAGGAACTTCCCTTGTTAGTTGAATTAGTTGGTCGATTATCATGGGCAAAACTAATGACTGGGAGATTGTTTATAGAGATTTGAACTAAGGAAAAAACGGCTTTTGAGTTACTGAGATATTCAAAGTATTGTTTTGGTGTTGCATTTATACATTTCATTGATTTTTCTCTGCCTAGATCAAGGGTCTGCCTGTACAGACTTCGCTTTTAAGCCAAAACTCCAGGTCCGCAAATCTAACGAGAAGGTAATGAACGTTGTTTCTATGGTAATACCAAGTTAGTGGGGGTCCTCTCATGACTAAGATTAACCTGCATGCCTTTGGAGGACGGCACAAAGATGTGCGTGCCTGCGTGGATGGACACAACTGCAGGCCCCAGGTGGACTGTTCTAGGAAAACAGCAAGCCCAGCACTTGCACGGCGCAAACGCGCCTACGGGGACACTGCACCCTCGGGTCACGCCTCCACGGCAACACCTACTGTTTGCCGCCTGCATAACATCCCCCCCCCGCCGACACTCTTCGCATGGCGAAACCAGGGCGCCCTACCCGGGGACGTGCCCCGCCCCGCGC